CTCCTCAGCCACGCTGAAGGCATCTCTAGTAATGGCATCTGGCCCATATGCAGATCTAGCTCCGCTCTGTGCTGACATCAGCCAGTTTGTGGCACCTCAGCGTATTTCTGGGTTGCAAATGAGAGTTTCTTAGTGCCAGGCTTGCTTGGGCTGTCACATCAGGTGATGAATTCTCTGCATCAATGGTGTGCTGCTAAGGTAAGCACAGAGGAAGAGTGGGAAAAGGAGGAGATGGGGCATGTGGTTCTTAGCCCAGCAGCCACTGCTCTGGGCTAAAAGCAGTACTGGATCCACAACAGGGAGAGAGAGGCAACTATCTATGGTCCCCGTTCTGGTTCAAGGAGGGTGATAAAGTCAGGGCCTGGGTTGCAGTTCTGTGCTGTGTGTCCTGTCAGGAGAAACCACGTGGGTTTCCCATCTGCCATTGCCCCATCCTTGGTGCAAGAGCTAGCTTCCTCTACTTTCTCAGGCAGGCATGTTTTGCATTACCTTTTAGATGAAGTTCTAGCGAAATTTGGTGTATATCAAATTATACGCCAAATTCTTTAGGGTAGACTATGGAGTAAATAGTCATTTTTATTCCTGAAACACTTTATTTCCAAATATCTTTGTGTTTGGGAAATCCAGATTTTCTTATCTCAGGAACCTGCTGCATTTTGTCCTAATTTTATATTCTATGAGCTTCTCTCTTCGTGAGCCCAGGTTGAGCCTGCTCTGCTGGCTTAGGTTTCATCTGCAAGAATTAAAAGTTACGTTGGGTCACACTTCCCAGGTGTTGCATCACAGGCCACAGAATTACCTATATAAACTGAGTGCAGATATAAACACTCTTCCATTAAAATGTTTTTAGCAATTAAAAGGGTACCTTTGGTTTCGCAGATTTTACCTCCTACCCTGTGACCCCTCAGTGTGGTTTATGACATTAGCGTTTCCAGGAATGTGTCCCTTATAAAGGATAGTTTGCATCAGAAAGTAGAGAGGGAAGCTGAGGTGCAGAAGAAAAATAAAAATAAAAGTCTTATTTTCCACCACCCCTCACCCCTGCATGGTTGTTAATGAAAGCATCCTCTCCTCTCACTGTGCCCAGAGATAAATAAATACACAAAGGCGGAGTTTCCTACTTAATATTCACCCACAGTCGAGGAAGAGGGAAGGAATTGCTCCCCAGGGTTAACGTGGCAGTAAGCGAGGTCAGCTGTTTCCCAAGACGGTGCAGCCTCTGAGCATCTTACATTAAAGCTGGAATGATACAGCTGAAGCAGCCAAAGTGATTTACAGGAAACCCGGTTAAGTTGAGTTTGCTCACAGTTTCTATCTTATGACGGTTTTAGCAGTAACAGCAGCAGATAATATACCGTTCTATAAAGCACCTCTAGAGAAAAGAATTCTTCCACACTCCCCAGTGTGACATGCTTCATCTAAAAAGTATCTATGTTTCTCTAATTTAAACCCTGTAGGCTATAATGTCCTAAATTTGGTGAGAAGTGGGAGGTCATAGCTGGCATATCCTGGAATAGGGTGGCCAACAGTCTTATTTTGCCTAGGCCATTGGGGTCTGCTGGGATCTGAGACTTTAGGTATTAACATGGGAAATTCCTGGGCAAACCCGGATCAATGGTCACCAAATCTGAGGAGGTGGGGGGAGGGGGGAGGGAGAGAGAGAGAGAGAGAGAGAGAGAGAGAGTGTGTGTGTGTGTGTGTGTGTGTGTGTGTGTGTGTGTGTGTGTGTGTGTGTGTGTGTGTATGTGCATGTTTGTGGAGGAGAGAGAGTTAAAAAAAAAAAAGGGAGTGAAAAAGACTTTGTTTAGTGTATTTTTTTTTTTTTTTTGAGACGAAGTCTCGCTTTGTCTCCAGGCTGGAGTGCAGTGGCACAATCTTGGCTCACTTCAACCTCCACCTCCCGGGTTCAAGCGATTCTCCTGCCTCAGCCTCTCCAGTAGCTGGGACTACAGGTGCCTGCCACCACACCAAGCTAATTTTTATATTTTTAGTAGAGACTGGGTTTCACCATGTTGGGCAGAATTGTCCTGATCTCTTGACCTCGTGATCCACCTGCCTCCAAAAGTGCTGGGATTACAGGCGTAAGCCACCTTGCCTGGCCCTGTTTAACGTATTTCTTTTAGACAGAAGATTTTATATACTCTTCGCTAGGCCACCTAGAATAATATAATGCTGGTTTTGATATTAGCTTGAACTAATTCCTGTCTCTACCTTCTGTGGGTTCTCTGTACCCATCTTACATACTGGTCTGAAAAAACAGAACTTTTTAAAGAAAAGAGATCAAATTTTTACTGTTTGAGTTATTTCAGATCTGGGATGACTCAAAAAGAAGTCTCCCAGAACCTTCTGGGCAATATAAGAATGCCTCGTCAGTTCCTTCTTAATGAAACACCAGAGAACTAATTTTCTTTACTAATGGCTTCATTTTTTGAACCACTTATTGTTATCTTAATGGAATTATGGCATGGCTAAATGATAGGGAGAGAAGTGATTTGTGAGCAATGTAATAGAACTCCTTTGTTCCATGTGCTGTGACATGTATGCTCACCGTTTTCGTAGAGCTTCCTTATCTGCTTATTTTATACCAAGTAGATTCTAAGATACGTGACTTTTTTTCTTTTTTTTTTTACCAGAATTTTACTCTATTCATGATATTGTACTTAAAAACTTCTGTCATGTTTTCTTAAATTTCTGTACTGCTGAGTCAGCACCCAACCCCTACCTCCCATCCCCACAGATACACACCTGTCTGTCTGTCTGTCTGTCTGTCTACCTACCTACATACATATGTACATACATACATACATACATACACACACACACACATCTATCTATTTAGATATCTATCTGGTAAACATTCACATATATAAATGAGTAGGAGAAACAGATACCAAAGCAATTATATCTGTAATCAAAGCTGACTCATTTTCCCCAAGTAGCAGGATTATGGGTCCTGTGCATTTTGTTTTTTATGTTTTTTTATTTCCCAGATATTATAGAGTAAATATATCTTATTTTTATTTTTAAAACATGATATTAAAGGATTGTCTTTGGGAAAAATAAACATAGCCACCATTCTTCGTCAGCCTAAAATGGCGCCAGAGTCTCTATTCTTGGTTGGGAAGGGAGGCTATAATGTTGTCACCCCTGTGGCAGACCTGCCTTAGAAATTTGAATTAATTCTGTTCTTGATTCTGAGTATACTACACAGTGTTTGCCCCCAAAAGTTGGAAAAGCCTTCTGTTATGACAGAAAGCATTCTTTTCCTCCTTTTTGTTCTCCGTCTAATCTCTTTATCACAAACAGCAGGAGGAAATGTCCTCCAACAGAGAAAAGGAGGAGAGGAGTGACCTGACTGGGTTAGGAGATGGGAGATTGGAACTTGAGAGCAGTTATTTGCTGACCCAGGATTTGGGAGCGGTGTTCTTGGCATTGCTCAGGATGCCCTCTTGGTATGCAGATCTTCTCTTTAGTGAGGTGTGAACAAAACCCACCCTGATGCTGAAGTAACTGGTAGGAACCGCTTTGAATTAAAAGCCTGGCTTTCCTGGGAAAATTGGCGCATCACTGGTATAAGCCAATGATAAAGAAAGCCAAGTGGATGAAAAGGGCAGAGAAAATGGAGCCTCATACAAAGGTCTCGAAGCCTGTGTTCTCAGGCATGAACCAGGACACCTGCTTTTCTCTTGCACCTCTGCTCTCTTAGGAATAAAATGTGAACGGACATTTCCAGCACCTACCAAGTGCCAGACACTCCCCCAGTGCCATAGACTTTGCAAGAGTTGAAGTGGCGGTCCCTCCCAAACAGCAACAATAATACCTGCCCCATCTCCCCTAGATTTTTCAGAGAATGAGAGGAGAGTACAATAGAAAATATTTTACCAGGGACATCTCAGACCTGGTCTGTTCAACATGAACTCCAAAGGAACACGGTAATTGAAGAGGGCAAAGGCATTTTAGCACACTTATATTTCAATGCTTTAAAACATCTAAACAATCATGAATTATGCATCACGAATTAACCACTGTAGCAAATCATTCTTGAACTATTTTAGTGCTGAGATTTTTTTTGAAAGGGGTGGTTACTCAACAGATTTTTTTAATAACGATTTTAACAGTTTTATTGTTGGGATGCTCCTGGATCTGGAGTCTTATAAAAATGATCTCCAAATATAGATCACGCCTGTACCTTCCCATCTCACCACCTCTCTGGGTATATTCACACAGACCAGTCCTATGGCCTTGGCACCACTGTTGTATCTGTAACAGTCACCTGAATTACCCCCTGTACTTTTCAAAACTCACCTCAAAGAGTGCTCCCTCCATGAAGTGTTTCCTGATGTTGCAACAAAACGTGGTAACGTTTTTATTTGAAACTTCATAACAATGGGACTCTATCATGTATTAGGTTCTGCCTTGATTTATAGTTCATTCATGGGCTTATCTCCGTGTATGAGCACATGAACGATATCTCACTCATCATTATATACCCATGAGCATCTAGTAGAGAACCTTGCATAGAACAGGTACCTGGAATCCCATAAATATATGGGACATTCAGAGCCGGAAAGAGCCTTAGAAAGCGTTTGAGCCAACCTTCTTATTTTTCAAAAGGGAAGACTAAGATCAAATAGGTGAAGGTGCTTTACCATCAACAATAGCTAGTTGTTGCCAGAGTCAGAACCAAAACCTTGAGTCTCTTGACCTGGAAGACAGCTGTCATTTCACTGCTGGCTGGGACTGAATTATAGAGTCTTTGAGAAGTTTAAACACATCATATTAGTGGGAGGTGTTAACATTGTATCCAAAGGCTCACTCGGATGACCCAAACTTATTTGAGGGTGGGGGGAATATTGTCACCCACAGTAATAGTTTCCTGTTGATGAGTATCACCCTGTGCCAGGCACTGTGCTAGGTTCTTTACACAAGTTGCCTCATTGTCATTGTCTGCTGAAAACAGCCACTCAGAGGACTGACTTCTCTCCCTTTTTCCCTTCTAGGCTAATGGAGGTTGGCAGGATGCTACTACCCCTTCATCAGTGACCTCCCCTACAGAAGGCCCTGGCAGTGTTCACTCTGATACCTCCAACTGATCTCCCAGCAATCGCATCCCGGCTGACCCTGTGCCCCGGTTGGGGCAGGGGCAGGAGGGAGGGTTTCTCTCCCAACGCTGAAGCGGTCAGACTGGAGGTCGAAGCAATCAGCAAACACAATAAGAGTCTCCTTCTCTTCTCTTCTTTGGGATGCTATTTCAGCCAATCTGGACACTTCTTTATACTCTCTTCCCTTTTTTTTCTGGGTAGAAGCCACCCTTCCCTGCCTCCAGCTGTCAGCCTGGTTTTCGTTATCTTCCCTGCCCCTGTGCCTCTGTCCTAGATTCCCGGGGTCCCTGTCCTCTCTCATATCACGGAAGGATATTTTCAACAATTAGAGGAATTTAAAGAGGAAAATAACGACAAAGAAAATAATAAAAGTGTTTGTACGTTTTCATGCTGGTGGTTTGAGGAGCCAAATTTACCTCACTCGGATCCCTAACTCCTATGTTAACAGCCAATCTTCCTCTCACTACCTCTTAGCAGGAATACGCCACATTGCCCTACTCATTCCAGGCCTCCCTGCCTCCTCTTGCTCTTCCTCCCTGGGGACAGTACTGATTGGAACACTTTCCTCCTCTTCTTCCCAGCCCCAGCTATTCACTGGGGACTGTCATAGCTGGGATTCCTAAGGTGCCACATTTTTCAGTTTCATCTCCACTAGGTTGGTTCCCAGGCAGGAAGTCAGGCAGTAGGGAAGGACACGGGAACAGCAGGTGCAGAATTCCTACAGGCTTTCTAATCCTGTGAGCAACGGCTCTCAGTTTCAGAGGCACAGTCTTTGGAGACCATTCAACACTCAGCAAGCAATGTTTAGAACCTATTGCAAAACTGGGCCTGGGTTAGGCATAGTGATGAATGCATCAGTAAGGAATAGAAAGCTCTTATCATGAAACCCTTCAACCTCAGCCATGCCTTCATACTTACACACATACATGTACATGTTGGCACATGCACCAGTTCACACCTTCACTTTCCCAAGGTGCCATGTACAATTACCTGCGTTAATAACCATAGCACTATACTTTATGAGCCCGAGAGAGGGAATTAGTGACGCTGAGTGAAGGTCACTGACACAGAGAAGCAGTATGTGTCTGGGGCTCCCAGGACCTGCAGGGCCGCTAGCATACACTTACCGGAATGGCATACGCAGGACCTGATCTTGAGGAAGGCCAGGTTTCCAGTGTGAACTAACTCCTGTTCTCACCACCTCTGGAGTGCTCAGGGAGCCACACACAGTACTTACAATGTCTTTCATGGATTTGGTTCTGTTTCATTTTTTGTTTTGTATTAGGCACACTGTATTACTTTTCCAAAATGTTACACCACACCATGTTCTTGATGCCGACCTATTGCTCTGGAGGAAAGAGTTGTTTCAGAACGTGGCTCATGTGAACTTTTGCTAGCTGCATTTGAGGACCTGAGAATCATGGGTAAAGGGGAGGTAATGTTTTCATTGAAATCATCACAGTGATTTTTATTCCCTGGGAACACAGTGTGTACTAAAAATATATGAGAAAGTAGCTTGTACTTGAAAGCTATTCTCAGATGTCACCTGAGCTCACCATCTTCATAGCCAACCCAACCAGCAATAAAGATGGCAGCTCTATCACTTGATTAAGTGGGAGGTGGTCAAATCTTTTGGTGCCTCATTTTCTTCATCTGTGAGATGGGAACTGCTATGCCTGAGTTATAAGAGGCTTGTGAGAGACTGGAGAAGTTGGTTTTACTCGTATCCAACCTGTAAATGTGAAGTCAGGGGAAGTAATGTCCCTGAAATAAACGGGTTCATGCTGTCTAGGGGCAGTAAATGGTTTTCTTGTTCTAACTCCTGATTAATATCAGAACCTTGATGTCATCACCATGATGACAAAGAGAAGAGTTGTTGATTTTCTTGGTTTTGGTCTGTCTGATTCCTTGGGAGAAAGAAAAGCTTCCAAACTAGAAAAATAGGCCCTGGTTCTCTTAGTTTGCACTTGAACCCAATATGTTGCCTTGTACATCCTTGGTCCCTGTCACATTGACTGTGCTTGGGAGGCTTCCAGGGAGTAGAAGACCCTGAGGGGTGAGAATGTCCAGCTAACAAGGACATGGAAATTCTCCATGGCACTACAGTCATAAGTAGAAAACACTCTGTGTGCTCAGAGGAGCAGGGATGCCACCGAAGAAACTGGAGGGTACGTGTGTTTGAAGGAAATGCAAAAGCTAAATATTTAGCAAAATGAGATTATGCCTTGATGACTAAAAGACACTAGAAAGGTTGTGTCTGCTAACTTCTGCCCTAATCAGAACAGATGCCTAGAAGGAGCATCTTGGTGACAACTTCATACTAATTAGAACCAGTGGAGAACTCCGTCTTAGTGGCAGGAGTATAATGAAACTGCCCACACCAGAACATGGTTGAATCACCTTTGCTTGACTTAGCGCAAAGTGCAAAAGAGACACAAAAGTGTGCTCTTGGAAACAGGAAGGGTGACTCCAGATGTGGCTTGAATGATTGCCATGTGAAGTCAATGCAAAAGGTCAGAGCAGTGCTACATTTGCACAGGCAGTTTCTCTCCGGGCAGCAGTTTGCACTGATGATCAGCTTTCATGGCATTTTCCCCACCCAGCACTTCACTTAGCCCTCTCTATATTCAGCACCTCTCCCTGGCACCCCCTGCAAGCCCACTGTCACTTCCTGTTTCCAAGGTGGCAGCCGTGGGATCTGTCCACATTAAGCGAAGTAGGAGAACACAGAGCAGCGGGATGGGTTTGGAAAAAGTGTGCCTCTGCAAACACAGCTTCCTGAGAATTCACATTAGGTCAGTCCTACGGATACCAAGAGGCACCCCAGGTTTCCTTCATTTTCTAATGGAACTGGGAGTGCTCCATTCCCCCACCCCGACCCCCCAAGCAAATTTCCCCTGATAAATGATACTAGACCCTGGGTTTGCCCACCTTGTAACTCTTCATTATCTCCTCCTTTTCATCCCTAACTGCTCCTCCCGCCGGCGTGGAATTGATACCCATGCAGTACATTTGCCAAGTGGCACCTTCTTTCAATTTATGTTTTCTTTTGCCGTGGTGGTGGTTCTTTATTTGCTGGTTGCCTTTTCTCACACATCTTTTTCTCTCTCTTTCCTTCTGCTTTTTGTTTTTCTGCCCAGAAAAACCTGACTTCGATACCAAAAAAGATGAAACTACAGAAACTCAAATTTAAAAAAAACTTTAAAAAAAAAACAAAAAATACTCAACAATTCTTTCAGCTTTATTAACATTTTCCATTGTTTCTTGCGACTTGTGTCTCGTTCTTTGTAGTATTGATGATGAACATTTGATAATGAATGTTCTTGTATATTCAGATAAAGGAAAAAAAACCAAAAAAGCGGTCTGAATTTAATAGTGTTTATAATAAAAATTTTAAAAATGACCCTCATAGCACGCAAAACAGGATGGGGAATTCCCCCTCTTCCTTCTGTGACAATGCGTATCATTCCTGCATTAGTTTTTAACACCAAACTACCTACATTCATCATTTCCCTCATTTTTCTTTTATTTTCTTGCATTTGTGAATTAGTTCAAGAATGCTAGAAAAGTGTCGAGTTGTGCACATTTATTTCTTGTTTCACAATGTTTAAAAGTGACAGTAATTCATTTTGTAAACTAAAAAAAAGGTTGGAATAGTGATCATAATAGGTACAACCTAACACATTATTATGTTTATTAACTTTGAGACCCAGAAATAAATTCTTTTCTTTTCTTTATTCTTGCTCTTAAAAATACAAAAAGAAAAAAAAAAGTTTCATTTTGTGTTATTTTTTGGTTTGTTTATGGGGGGGGCTTTTTTTAATTGTCAGGATTATGATCTTGCTGTTTTTCTTCGATATGTATACAAGGTGATGTGAAAAGATGACATTAGCATAGTAGTAAGAACAAGTAGGCTTGTTCTTCTACTTTGTTTCAGGATTTAGTTAATGCCAAAAGAGAAGATCAAGTTCATGTTGATATCTCATGGCTCACCTGCATTTCCAGAGTGTGGCACTCATGCAGACCCAGAGAAAGATAAAATCAGGGACATGCTTCTCCTTTTAGCCCTTTAAAAATTTAAGAAATTAGCCCAAGGGAACGTTTTATGCTATCAGGAAAAGTTTTGGCCATTTTTGATTCTGATTGTCACAACCAAGTACTTTGTTTTCTTTCTCCCTAATTCCATGAGTCCTCTTCCAAGTAGAGAGACTTTTTCTTCCAGAGGAATCCCACAGGAGATGCTGGTATGATGGGCACCATTGGCTAAGTAAACTAGATGCAGGAAGCGGTCCTTGGGGCCAGTCTGCCAGCAGAGTCCTGGTTCTGGACAAAGAGTTGGTGAGATGTTGGGCCAGGCTCAGTGCTGTAATTTTAATGCTAAGAGGTTGAGTTTACTTCACAGACAGTACACCTCTTAGTAATCTCTGACTTAGGCAGCTGCTTGAAGCAAATCGCAAAACCGGCTTGATTTGGAAGGCTTTTATTAGAGGAAAAAAGAAAGCCATATTATCTGAAAAAGCTTAATTTTAAATATCCCTTATTCAACAAATTATGTTCAGAAAGTGGTCAGAACTTAGGCAAGAAAAGTGAAGAAAGAATGCAGAATTGAGGGGTAACACCTTAGGAAGTGTTTCTACCCGGAAACTTGCACTCTCGAAGTCGTAAGGATATAATGGCGAGCTTTTCACATCACCTTTATGGTTTCAATCCCTAGCTCAAAGCTTTCTGGAATCTTTTATTTTTTGTAACCTTTTTTTTTCTTTTGTTAAAATAAATAAAACATTCAATGTTTTTCTCCTTTTCTCTCTTATTCTTTTCTTAAGCATTTTCATTTTGAAATGCTTTCCTTTGGTTGTTGGTTTTATTCTCCCCCTACCCCTCCCTTTTCTTATTATTCAGAGTATAAACCTGCAAAGCTCTGCTCTGTTTTGGTTTTGAACGTTTAAGCTTTTATGCTTCTGTGAGAGCACAGGCTTCTGTCCCTTTTGATTCCAACTGAACTTTTGTGTTCTCTAATGATACTAACACGGTGTAGGTTTTACAGTCTCCTAATTTGTACTGGTAATGCATATTCCAAATAAATAGTTTCTTTTGTTGCAAAAAAAAGGCTTTCTAGAGACATTCTAAGCTTGCTCAGTATGAGGTCAAATATTTTATTAAGCCCTGTTCTTTGCAATATTTAAAAAAAAAAAAAAAAAAAAAAAAACCCTTGTATTTTGTGCACATTTCTTTACTTACTGGCAACGTCTCTTTCCCCAAACTCGGCCTGTATTAGTGTAGATTATGGTTTAAACTGTTGCCCTAATCACTGAAAGGTCTGCATACCATGGTAGTGGGGCAGAGACCTCATGGGCCACCTTCTTCACTCAGGAAATAAGAAGGAAGGAAGAAAAGGTCATTTGTGAGTAAACAACAGCTGTATTACAGAGGGATAGGGCATCCCGTCCTGTCTGCTTGCAACTGACAGCCATCCACCAAGCACCAGTTCAAAGAAATGCCAGGGGTATTTTCCATAATAAATTCTAAGTCATGGCTGTATGCCCAGTGATTCTCCTTTTCTTCTCTTTGTCTGCTGTGATCTGGTCATAAGAAAATCTGTGGTTCCCAAAAGATGTTTCAGGGGAAGGAATCTAGGTTATAAATAATACCCAGTTGTAGGCTTTCAGAAGTATGCTAGATGTTACTCCCAGTGGATGTGTATCTCTACTCTGTTAAATCTACCATCCCAAATAAGCATCTCTTTCAATAGTCTGCACTCATATCGAACCCCTGACCTTGAGGTTTTGATGTGTTACAGAGTGTGGTGTCCCGAGTGTTGTAGCTGGTACACCAGGCCTCCATGTGTAAGTCTGTGCCCCTGCCTTTAACACCATCTTTCCATCCTCAGAGTGGGATGGAACTCCTTGTCTGGCTTTTGGCATGTTACTCGGGGGCCATCACATGCATTGCATTCTCATTTTCGTGTTGTAGCTCTCCTGTGAGGCTCTGACCAGATCCTCTGTGAGACGAGCATGTATTGAAAGCTGAGTTAACAATCACTTATCCCAATCACAATTCTAAAGAATAGAAACTAGATCAAAGCATCCCCAGCCTATGGGAATCAACTTATCATTTTTATTAATGAACAAGCTAAGTTCCCAATGGCTTCAAAAGCTTACAGCTATCTGCCAATGTTGAGGTGGTGAGCACCACCAGAAGCCAAAATGGAGGACTCGTGTTCCCTTCAAATCATGTTTGTTTTTTTTTTTTTTTCTTTCTTTGAGAGGGAGTTTTGCTCTTGTTGCCCAGGTTAGAGTGCTCACTGCAACCGCTCTGCCTCCTGGGTTCAAGCGATTCTCCTGCCTCAGTCTCCCGAGTAGCTGGGATTACAGGCATGCACCACCACGCCTGGCTAATTTTTTGTATTTTTAGTAGAGACGGGGTTTCTCCATTTTGGTCAGGCTGGTCTTGAACTCCCAACCTCAGGTGATCCGCCCGCCTCAGCCTCCCAAAGTGCTGTGATTACAGGTGTAAGCCACCGTGCCTGGGCTTCCTCTTCAAATCTAAACATTGGAATATACTTATGGGAGCAAACAGGCTCCAATTACTTCCTTTTCCAATTGCATGGAGAATTGGAGTCTAACTCACCCACCAAGTGTATTACTTAGAGTGTTTCTAAATCGATGTAACAAATAAACCAAAAATGTATACTGCCTTAAATGCAATACAAGCTAGTTCTCACTTATGGAACAACCCAAGGCAACTGTCCTGGTCAGAGTGCTTCCTCTCCATGAAATGATTCGCAGATCCAGGTGCTTCTACGTTGTGGCTCATCCAGCCTCCAAGAATCTGTAGCTTTTCACATCTAGCCCGCAGAAGGGAAAGAGTATGAAGAAGGCCCACCCACTTCTTCAAAGCCTTGACCAAGACTTCCCTTCTATTCACATTCCTAAATGCAAGGGCTAGGGGTGGGCGTGGGGATTAGAAAAGTAGTCGCTGGCAAGGCAGCCACTTCCTGGGGATAATTGCACACAGTCACTTTGTGGACAGCTGACTATCTCCATCACATCTAGTAACCATAAGGATAAGGAAGAACAAAAGACAAGCCCCTATATAGCTGTTTTGTTGACCGACACACTTTCAGTAGAGACATTTCCATGTCAGCATTCCACACTTGGCTTCATTACTCTTCACAGAGAAGATCAAGAGAGGGATTTAACAGGGGCCAGAGATGTGCAATCCAATATTGCCCCCTCAAAGTAGAGAAAGCAGAAATCTCCACCTCTATGGAAATGTAAGGATGCGGGAGAAACACTCCCACTCCCCAACATTCTCCAAATTTTGTTTTCTAGCTTGCCTTAGCACCAAGCCTATAGTCACCAGGAAGGGGGAACTGCAGCACGTTAAGGCCTCCTTGCTCCCATCTTCAGATCACACTGACATGTTTACTGCTAGCTGGAAGAATCAAGTCGGGCAGCCAGCAGTCGTCTTAGAGAGTATGGAAATGTGTAGGGTTCAACCCTTAAAATCACAAAATCTCATATCCTCACCCCTTCTCCCATACCATAGACTTGTATGTGGCTATCCTTATAGACTAGACTTCCACCAAATCCCTATTTTATTTTATTTTATTTAGAGACAGAGTTTTGTATGATCTCTGCTCACTGCAGCCTCTGCCGCTGAGGTTCAAGCAATTCTCCTGCCTCAGCCTCCCAGGTAGCTGGGATTATAGGCATGCACCACCGCACCCAATGAATTATTGTATTTTTAGTAGAGATGAGGTCTCATCACATTGACCAGGCTGGTCTCGAACTCCTGGCCTCAAGTGATCCGCCTGCCTCAGCCTCCCAAAGTGCAGGCATGAGCCACCACATCTGGCCAAATCCCCATTTAAATCCCCGTTATCCCCAGTCATGTTCAAGTGCAGTAGTGTTTGCAAGTAACTGATCGCAACCAATTACAGATTCCTTTGTTCTTTCTTCATTCCCACTGCTTACTTTGATAAGGCTTTAAAATTAACAAAGAAAAATAATTAATGCAACAAAATGTCAATTTTACTGATCACCATTTAGTATGCAGAATATAGCCTTCCTTCTGGAAACATCCCGTGTGGAGAGAGGCTCAAGAACCTAGTCTTATCAAATCATTCAGCGGGTGAGTTTAAGGAGATTGTTTTCATCTGGATCCCTGAACCAGATGGGCAGAGCCAGGAATGATGCTCTGCTTTGGGGAGTTCCCTCTCATTCCTGCAGCAAAGCTACTATAGTGTGCAAAGGAATAAGTGGTTTTGCTGACCACCGAGTCCAGTGAGATTCAACCTGTGGCCTTAGGCAGATTTCTTCTAGCCTTAGGCAGATTTCCGAGGTCACCCTGGACATTGTAGGGGTGAGATAAGGAAGGTTGTAAAGGGTTATAGCCGTGGCACTGCCCAGGGCCACATTCTTTGAGGAATCATTACCCTTGTATACCCTTTCAGGACCCATGCAAGAGACAGTGCAGCTCTTATTTCAGGATGCTTCTGGGTAGATCAGAAAGATACATTCATTAATATCCAGGTTCTCCTGTAACCTTAGCCAAAATCCACTCTCTCCCACCATGCCCAGCCTCACGGCATAGCTCACCAGAGTTAACATGCACTCCATGATAGCATTAAAGGCTCCAAGTGATTGTCTTTATTTGAATACAGATCTCTCATTCTAATATTCAGAGAGAAGTTGAAGTTCAAAATAAAACCTTCTTCTCTCTCTCTCTTTTATTTTTTTTGAGAGACAGGGTCTTGCTGTTTCACCAGGCTGGAGTGCAGTGGCACCAACATGGCTCACTGCACTTTTGGCCTCTCTGGGCTCAAATGATCCTTCCACCTCAGCTACCCAAGTAGCTGAGACTACAGCCATGTGCCATCACATCCGGCTAATGTTTGTATTTTCTGGAGAGATGAGGTCTTACCACGTTGTTCAGGCTGGTCTCAAACTCTTGGGCTCAAGCAATCTGCCTATCTTGGCCTCCCAAAGTGCTAGGATTACAGGTGTGAGCCACCATGCCTGGCTTCCTCTCTTTAAGTTAAAATTCAAAGAAATATTTGTCTACAACTCCACTGTCTTCAATTTCTTCCTTCTGTGCTCATTCCCAGCGAGTATACCCTCACTCCATTGCCAGAAGTAAAGTTTAAGGCCTTCCTTCTATAGCAGCAGCAGACCTCTTCTACAGAAATGAGCATAACTGTTCGATCCCTCCAAAATTCAATTAATCCAGTCTTGAATCTCTCTAGTATCCCCCTTTTTTTTTTTCCTAGAAAGTCACTAGGTTAGCATATGAGGCATATGAACCATATCCCAGTATTGGCCTGATGCACAGAATTCAGAAAACACAGAAAAGTTCAGACTTCTACTGCAAAATTAAGTTTCCAGAACTCAGAGCCTAGAACGTGACCAGTGGTAACGAATGACCATAGCAGAGATTTGAAAACTTGGTAAGGAAGCAGGAAAGACAGAGAGCACGTGAAAAAACAGAAATAAAATGTTTATATCCGTCTTTACAACACCAGTTGAGTACTATCAAATGTAATGTTGAAAAACAGCCACCAACAAGAGGTTAATTTTGTACTCCGCTTCCTATATCCTGAGGGAAACAATCCAATCTATGCGTTCTGCCTTCTTTCTCTTAGAATGACCTTTGAAATATTCATGTCTTTGTGAAAAATTTAAAAATGTAAAATGGGTCCTCTCCAGTCCACAAGCTCACTTGAGGCTCCCGCCTTCCCCTAGTATTCTTATACACATTTGAGATTTATCTTGCCTTCCATTTCCCTTTAAACCCTGCATTCCTAATCCCAGATATGTTTACCCCTGTACCACTGTGTCTTCTGCTGCTTCCTTCTCTGGAATTCCTCCAGCTCATGACCTCCTTTGTGTTTTCCTTTGTCTCAGTTGGAGTTAACCTCAAATCCTGAAGCTGACTGTTGGTGGTGGTGCAGAGGGCAAGGCTTCTTCCCTGGGCACCGCTCCCCACAAAGTCTCCCCTTCCCTCCGCCTTGGGGTCCCAGGCTTTGAGTAACTGGTGCTGCGTCAGCATTGGCAGAAACATTCCTTTCTGCCCTCCCCTTAACATTTGCCTCTGATGTTCCTCTT